TGAACAATCCAGAAAAGTTCCAGATAATACTTGTCCAAAGAAGACGGGCAGACACGAGGAAAGACGAACAGAAACTATCAGAAACTGTCAATGTCCAGGTCTTACTACTCTGGACCTCACGCTGTCTCTCGAAGACTTTCAGAAACACTTTGTATTAAACAACGCGAAAAACCGGAACACACATTGGCGACTCGAGAATCCTTTACTCTTCCGCCAATATGTAGTTTTTTATCTTCCTCTGAACAGCGAACGATGAGACGATGACTGCATGATTGATGACTGCTACGAGAAATATGGAGGGGTTGAGTTTGAGGAAACAACCATGAATTGATCGTTCAATCTTCAACTACATTGACATTAGCGTACAGCAGTATCATCACCTTATAACGAATACGCCTCATGACAAAATACTCAAATTCCAAGCCAAAATATGCTGCCAATACTAATGCGAATTCACAGCCAATGTTATCAGGACAGACAATTATATCATCAGTCATGGAGAATTGAAATAAGTTCACTTAAGTTTGAACTTTTCACTGAAGATGTTCTCTAGAATAACAGTGAAAGTTCCGCAACTGAATCCACCAGAATCAGGGAAACACAATCACATCAAAACCCTGTGTATATGGGTAAATGAAGTCAGAAAGTTATAGAGCGATACTTAAACGCAGATTATCAGGAAACTCCAGTTGTAGGGGACTAATATTAGAGTTCACTAACATTCCAAATATAAAAGTAATAATCCAAGTCAGTGGAGTGTTAAATCACAATATATTACCAAAAATACAGTGACGAGTTATAGCAACAAAAAGGATTACTTGGTTATAAAGTATAAGTCCTCGGCTACAAATTAATTATATAATCCACAGGCACGTTAACTGTTTGGACTGCGTCTGCTGTAGCTGCTGTGTTCCGGTTGTAGAAATGTCTTCGGTTGAAAGTAGTAGGCTCCTACAATAAATCCGAAGTATACAACACGGTGTGAGTGGAGCAAGTAAGCAGAAGTGACCAGGGAGAAGACGAAGTCTCCAACAGCAGAGTGTATTTTCAATTGTACACGGAAGTTATGTATATTTCAACAAGAAGCGTTTTAAACAAAAATTATGTACAATATCTCGAATTTATACAAGTAACCAAAAAGTGTACAATCACATTGTTACGTACTCAACACAGTAAACGATCAACTGATAAAAGAAACGTACGGTTCTAACTAAGACTATGAATACCAAGGAAATAGTCCTTTTCGTCAGTTAACAAGTCATTATGTGATGCCTTCCACTTGAAAATATCTTAGCCATGAGAACCACTATGACTCGTAAGTACAATATTTGTAGACCTCAAGAAACCTAATGAATTAAGTCGAAAGTAATACTTCTTAGTCAGTTAACTAGTTTTAATGATAAACCACAGGATATATACGTGTGACGAAAAAGTTGACGATATTAAACAAGCGAAAATATTTAAAGACTAATAATTGGTGACAGAAAAATAGATAGACAACTAGACGGACACTATGAAGGATAATGCAAGTGAATAAATTGTGAGATAATGAGCAATACAAAAATCATTTGATTATTCTAATAAGTAGTTGATTTTTCTGTTGAAAAGTTTGGTAAGCTTCACTCCAAAATTCATCTTCATATTTCTATTACAAGTAAATGAAACAACAAATTTCAAAGTAGATACCTGTTGAAATTTTAAAGAAATATTTTAGCTGGAAAGGTTGTTTGTAGATAAAAAGTTGTGATATATGACAGTTGAGTATTCAGAAACTGCTCTGAAATGAAGTTAAGGAACATTTGTGGAGGAATAAAAGGCACAGGCTGTGTGCTTCTAAAAGAAATAAGTTAAATATAAACATACATGCAAAATTTATCAATTGAAGGAGTGATAATTAAAATTCGTGTCTAAAAACTTCGCACGAAAATTCCATTTCATAAATTCGAAGAGAGAGAAAAAACAAACATTGAGAGTAAAATGATATGGATCCATTTTGTTTCGTTGGTCCTCTTCAACTGAGTTAGATCTGTAACATTTCATAAAACGTATTATAATACAATTTTAACATACTTTTGTTTTATCAGCAGAAACATTCTGTCTGTTGGAGCATTGGAAAATCGACAAGCAAAAGCAGTTACACGTAGAGAACAGAAAGAAGGGGTTACAACAGATTCAATGAACAAATACCACAGAGTATTAAATTAGAAGGGTCGAATAAATTGATTTCTTCAGATACAAAACACCTGATAGACGAGTAGATGCGTTGGGAGTATTCAGAATAATTAACAGATAAAACAGCCTAAGACTTCTACACTTTCCTGAGACTATCGCAATGAACTAGTTGAAACCTGACCTTTGTATTTAACATGAATTTGTTGTTGGACTTTGATTACTATGGTAAATCCTTCTAGTTTTCTGCTTTCATTACTTTCTTTTTATCCCATTTTTCTCATGAGTTTCATGTTAAACTTGGTCCTTTGGATTCTGCTTCCATAATCATCATTTTGATGGACTTCATACATACCAAATTTTGATTCTCCAATCTTATGAGTTCTAATCAATGTACTTTATTACCTCTGATTATGTAACTGTCACCGGCAATTTTTCCCATTTCCTACAGAAGAACTTCGCTCTTATATAATATATGTACTACTAATTTAAGATATCAGTGTCTGTGGGTATGGTATATGCTTTGTGCCGTCTAAGGGCAAAGTACTATTACACGATTGGCAGGAGCCTGTACTTGCACTCACTCTGGCAGGTGAACCGCTTAAAGTTGTCGATAAGTTCGTGTATCTGGATAGTTGTGTGAGTGCCTGCGGAGGCGTGACGGATGGGATTTCCAACCGTATCATGAAAGCTAGGGTGGCACGCGTGAACTTTAGCCACTTCTGGAGCCGTCACAACGTTAGCCTGGCTGTCGAAGTTCGAGTTTACAGTGTTTCAGTGTGTGCCATCTTGCTGTACACGCCTGTGAAACCTGGCCTCTCAGAGCTGAGGATGTGCGGCAACTCTGCCTATTCGATCATTGCTGTATACGTAGGAACGATTGCGTCATCGTGTGAGTAATTCTGAGATCCGGCGGTGTGTACCTGAACGCACTGGAAGTCACCATTCGTTGAGTGTTGTCATTCGGAAACATCGGCTTCTGTGGCTTGGACATGTGCTACGAATGTCATCTCAGAGGCTTCCGTACAGGTCTCTGTTCGCTAGCCCTGGGGTGGAATGGGAAAAGTGAAGAGGCAGTCAGCCCATGACTTGCCGTAGTGAAATGAAAGATATTTGTGTTAGGTTAGCATCAGTTGCTGAGTCACGACTCTCCGGTTGGAGTCCGAGAGATAGCTCGAAACGTTATCGGATATGGCCAAAGATTTTATTCAGTAGTGAACGTGCTGCAATTTCCTACTTTTCTCTGAGATGAAGTACTTTATCCGTTCTCTACTTATATTTTTACTTTTTATGTCATATATGTGGCGCATCTTCTTGATGCCATATTGTACCAAGTTCTTTGTGTTTAAATAAATAGTTTAAGATAACCTCCCCATTCTCATGTTTTTTTCCACCATGACATTTTCTTTCAACTCTCTTTACTGAAGGACTGCTTCATGATAATTAACTAACTGTATGTAAACACAGGAGTCAGACAATGGTGCTTATTATCACCAATGATATTCCTAATCGTGGTGAACTGGATTAGGCGTCAGACAGTCGGAAACGAGAAGACAGGAATATTCTGGACCGACGCGAAGAACCTAGAAGACCTGGATTTCGCGCGTGGATGATTTGTGCTTGATGTCACACAAAATCGAAGACTTACAAGCGAAAACGACAAACTGGTCGAAGAAGCAGTAAAGACAGGACTACATGTGAACATAGACAAGACGGAGGTTATGAAAATAACCAACCACCACCAACAACAGCAGGAACATCCAGCGTCAATCACCATTAACGGGAGGGATTTGAAAGAGGTTACTTCATTCACTTCTCTAGGTAGCATTGTCTCAACTACAGGCAGTCGGAACGGACGAGGATATCAAATCGAGTGAGAACCGGGAAGGCGAGAAACACATTCATCAACCTGAGACCAATCTGGAAATCTTCGTCACTCAGCCAGCATCAACAACAAAATTCGGTCGGATTTTCAATGCAAACAACGTAAAGTCAGTTCTTCTATACGGAACGGATCAGAAACTTGGCGGGTGGGTCACAAAGAATATTTCCAAAAGGTTGCAGACCTTCATCAACCAACAACTGTCTTCGCTCTATACTGAAGATCGGATGGCCGGGCCGGAAAGAATCACCAACAAGAAACTATGGCTGGGAACAAACAAAGCAAGAACCAATCGCCCAACAAATATGCAGGAGAAAGTGGAGATGGATTGGACACTCGCTCGCTGAGGAGGCCGCTGGTTGACCTCACACGCGCATCAGGCCATTTCTCGAGTGGAACCCGAAAGGGAAGCGGCGAGTGGGACGTCAGTGCAAGGGTGACATGGAGGAGATCGTGTGAAGAGGAGTTGAAACAGTATGGACTAACATGGCTGCAGGTGAAAAATACAGGAGAAGACAGAAGCAAATGGAGACGTGCAGTTGAAACCCTATGTTCCACTAGGAACCCAAGGGAGCAATAATAATGTTAAAATTATTTTATAATTCGTTTTATTAAGTGTTACAGGTTGAAAGTAGATTGAGGAGGACTTAAGAAATAAATTGGATCCATTCTATCCTGCACCAGCCTTTTTTTCCTTTCTTCTTCCAAAGTTAGTGTTATTAAATGAACAGGTTCATCAACAACAATAAAACATACGTGGACCCAGTAACCACGTTGTGCATAATATCTTCGTGAACAATTAAGTAACTTAAAAGAAATAAAGTGTATTTATTTGGAAAATAACAAACAAATATGTTTCTTGGGTGCATTAGCCTGATGACAGTTGATGTTTTGATCCCGCCCCCACCCCCACCCCCAATTAAAAGATACAATAACACTTGAAAGTGTAGTGAAGTAAAAATGCTTTATTTAAAGGCAATTAAAATATGAACATTTATGTAAAGACATTTTATATACAGTACATTAGAAAAGTTACATTGTTATTATGATTCCCCTAAAATACTATCCTTGAAATTGAAAAGATTAACTTTTGGTGGGAAATAAGATTTAGGATGTTTAGGAACTACTGTCTTTGGACAACTTGACAAGTGCTTGTCTGTAGGTGAAGACTGAAGAGGTAAATCCAAATCACATTTATCTTTATTTTCTCTAGAAGCAGCTAATTCGGCTTCTTTAGCTGAGATCATTTTTTCTAAAGTTGGTATATTACGTGATGAACGTCTAAGTCCATATCGATGAGTAATTTTCTTAATATTTTGTTGTTCATCTGTAATTTGTTCAGTTGAATCAGATTCATGGTTAGACGAGTTGGAATTGGCATATTGAGATAAAACGAAGTCGATTGTATCCGATAAACGATCTTCGAAATAAGGATCTGGACAGAGTACACTACTTTTCCTTCTTTTAGACTTAGATTTACCCGATTCATTAGGACATTTTTCAGATGACTGATCACTGCAGGTAGTTGAGTCTTGACCACATTTATCTATATAATTCAAAACACCAACATATTTACATTATTTATTTGATAATAGTTGATGTAAAAAATATAAGTATGTGAAGGAACGTATTCATAGTGTTGCTACACCAAAAAAATTAAATGTACTACAAATAATGCATACACTTAAAACTGATTATTTACACTAAATTGATTCATCTGGCTTAATATGCCTCCTACGATCAATAACTTTAGCAATAGTTTGAATACTAGTATACCGGGGCTGATGATGTCATATATGAGGTGTTTCATACACTTAGTTGTAAACACTCAAAATGTACCCAGTCTTCATTCACAGGTGTAACACTAACTGTATAACAGAAAGGGTTCCCAGTAAAGTGTGATAAATTCGCATGAAATTTCTTTATAACAGCTTTGTCTGCTTTATATGGCCTATTTATTTTGCTATCTTTTCATGTAAACGTTAGTTGTCATTTAACTTTCCTACTTTGAAAAGGGCCGAAATAAACAGTATGCAATAAAAGAATAATACGAGTACTTGAAAAGGGATTAAACTTCAACGTAGCTGTTAACAGATTAAAGCTTGATGATGTCATTTCTGGTATAGAAGTAGCATTAAGTGAAAATACACAAAACTACTGAGGAACAAGTCAGAGCAGTATAAAATCACCTTTGGATGAGTCAAAATGGCTTAATCTTATGCCTAAAATTAATAATCCTAATAAAATGTATGGGACTGTAAGAAGGCCTAAAGCAGGATACCCTATCAGGCCAATAGTCGACTTTAAAACACCCAGATGTACAGGTTATTTAAAATATTTAGCATCAGTGTTATTCCCCATTACAAATAAGTCAAATTTTATGTAGTGAAACAGAAACTAGAGAAAATTCAACGAGAAAAACAGGAAAATATGATTGGCTTTGACATAACCAGTTGATATACTAATATTCCCATTAATATACAGTTCTGGAGGCAGTTGGGAAAGAACTGAACATTGATCCTGAACTCAAAAGTGGGACTTAGCTCTCGGTTGATGAAATAATATTATGTATTCTACTGTAGTAAAATGTCACAAAGAACGAATGGGGAGGCAATGGTGTCACCACTATCTCCAATAGTAGCAGACCTAATTATGGATAGTTGGGAACATAAGGCCAATAGGTTACGTTGAAGACATGCGGATGACACATTCACTGTGTTGAAATCTCAACACATCCCTCAGTTTTTCATGCAGATAAACTCAATAACAGAGGTAACCCAATTCACTCCTGAGTTAGAAAACGAACAGAGTTGTCTATGCTAAACTGAAGAATAAAATGAAAACAAGATGGTGGGTTAGATACTAACATTTACAGGAAACTGAAACACTCATTCCATCCGAGATCGGTAAAGGTAAGTTTAGTTAAGTGTTTATACAATTGGCTCAGGGGCCTAACTAGTAAGGCAAAAGATTTAAATGATGAAATCAAATGAATAAGGAGAATATTAATAGTGAATAACCATCCACCAGAATTTATTCAGAAGCATATGCATAACCATAAAAAAAAAGATTAGTAATGAAAATGAAGAAAATAATATAAAGTGGAATTCAGAGCCTGTGTAGTACTGCCGTATGTATGAAGAAGAAACATCAAAGGCCTTGAGCAGGATTCTTGATGAGTCTGGAATTAAGGTGTCATTTAGACTAACCAACTCTCTCAGAGATAAAAACTTTGTTGGCTTAAGGACCCAAAGGATCCAATCAGGAAATTTAACATGTCTCACCAAAGTACTATATATAATGACTGTGGGGTCAATTTCACAGGTCACACTAATAGATCGGGGTCAGTTAGATTATCGGGAGATAAAGATTCAGACTGACCTGGAATAATTTAAAGTTATATATCCTAGAGTGCGTCGGTGGCACAGCGTTAGGACGCTCGCCGGCCATGCACATAGTCCCGGGTTCGACCCCCGGTCGACGCACTCCTTTACCTCGCTAAGCTAGAAATAATGCTGGTAAAGAGGAAAGGTTGGGCATGAGGCTAGCTACCCCATCTTGTAAAATTAAACACTGCTACAGAAACTTCAAGCCACTAGATTGAAGCCCCTATGTTCCACTGGGAACGTGAAGGAAATTAAAAAAAAATAAGTCCTAGGAAAAAGGTCAGCCATAGCACTGCATTCACTTGCATGTAATCACAAAATAGAGTGGGGCAGGGTGCGGGTATTAAAAAGTAATATAGTTAGGTGGAGAGACAAAGAGGTTAATCACTGAAGCTTTGTTTATCGATTCAACACCGCACATATGCAATCGGAATGACGCAACGCCTATACTTGAGATATGGAAAGTAGCAACAAACAACAAAGGGAAGTTGGAGAGACAGAAAGAGAATATATATATAAATTGTGAAAACGTGTGGTAGATAGAGATGTAGCTCAATGGCTTAAGTATTCGGTTTCCAACCGACAGGTCACCAACTTCAATCTGCTCAGCTTTCATACAAGAAGTGTGGCTCTTAGTCTCATACATGATGAAACTGTTCCGGGAAATTGAGCTATAACAAATTTGGACTGATCTTGGTGAACAGTAAGACATTTATACTTTATATTCCGTAAGTAATAGTAGAGTTACAGTAATCCGATAATAACAATTACATATAAAGTAGCGGAATAAATATGCATGAAAAGTGAATATTTAAGTGAATATTAACTAGCAGTCTTAGAAGGGACAACTTACAAAAATGAGAATGCAACTGCTTATATATTGTATTCTACCTGTGTGTCTGTTTTCGACATAAAACTTTGCACATATGTGCGGCAGTTCAAGTCGCCACACTCCCTCCTTGTAGCACACAAAGCAAGAGAAGTACAAGAAAGCATAATAGAGACAGTAAGCATAGGTGTGAGAAAAAGGAAGAGTAGTAACGAAGATCAAAACAGTTTCATTGGAAATCATAAATCACAAGGAGTGGGTGCATTTACGCCATTGAGAACGATGAGTTTGAGCCATGTCACCAATTGTTTCCAACCAATGGTTTTTTTTACCGCCCCGAGGACCCCAACCAGGAAGTCTACACCTTCCTCCCGACCGAAAGCTGCTACCTTGACGTGGTGGTCGGGCTTGAACACCGCAATGACCTAATCAAGCTATACTGGCTGAGACTTATGTCTCTTGAGGTTCTACCATGCCAGGCAGGTTGTTTGGATAGCGGTTAAACAAAAAGCAGCTACCCAATCCAACATCATGATCCAAACAAAATTACAAAATTTCATGCCGGATCGGCCGTGGCCCGGATTAACAACGACCGCGCTTCCTGCTGCCGTGTCACAGGGCGGGAGTGATAAATCTGCTACTGAGACACACCAAACAAAAAAGAACGAACAAAAACAGGCCGCGTGTGACCGGCCTCAAGCAGTTGTCCCCTGGGCTCTGCGGTCACGCAACCAACTTCCACGGTGTGGGCAGCCGGGAAGTAACAATCGCCCTCACAATCCGAAATGCACACGAAACCTCTCTATTACTCACTCATCTTTGTCTTCATCTTCATCTCTATCATCTTGCCTTCCTTCCACTGATGCAACTCCTCGACTTGATAGCTCTCCACTTCCTCTCCACTCTGCGTCCACTAAAAACGATGGAAGCCAAAAAACCACCACCGACAGCCTCTTAAAGCCGCGCCACCAATTTCATATAGGAGCTCTTAATGTTAGGACACTTTGCCAAATAGGACAACAAGCATCACTAGCCAAGACCCTGGCATCACGAGCCATTGATGTATGCTGTGTTTCAGAAACACGCATACAAGACCCAAGTGTGGTTATTCACCTAACCCCACCTGGCCAACAGGTTGAATCTGCAAAATTCACCTTGAGGGTGTCAGGAGATGCCACAGCTAGTTCACGAGGATTAGCTGGCGTAGGGATAGCTTTGAGTACTAGGGCAGAAAAGACATTGCTTGACTGGATCCCGGTAGATAGCCGAATGTGTGCTGTCCGCCTGAACGGATCAGTAAGAAGGAGGAAGGACTGCACTACTCGCCGATGCCTTTTCGTAATCTCCGCCTACGCCCCCACTGACTGCAGTTCAGATGAAACGAAGGATGAGTTCTACCAAAAGCTGTCTAGTTTGGTGAGAAAGGCTAAACGCTCAGACATAGTCGTTCTAGCTGGTGACTTTAACGCTCAAGTAGGGAAATTGTGTCAATCTGAGAAGGATGTCGGTGGCACCTATGGAGCTCCGTGCCAGCGAACCGACAACGGTGACCGTCTCCTACAGTTCTGCTCTGATAATCATTTGTTTCTTGTAAGCACTAACTTTAAACACAAGGAGAGACACTGTTTGACTTGGAGACCCCCTTCATCAAACCAACGCTGGACACAAATAGACCACATAGCAATAAGCTATCGTTGGCGTGGGTCGGTAGGAGATTGTCGCTCCTTCTGGAACACGTGCGTAGATACCGACCATGCACTGGTCCGCGCTCGGGTGTGCTTACGACTGAACGGACGTAGGAAACAGCTGGCGGTAAAACCATCACGTCCCCAGCTCGATCAGGAAACTAAATCCGTATTTGAGGAAGAACTAGCTAAACACATATCTGTGTTCGACAGCTGTGCTCACCCTGAAGAAGCTTGGAAAAATATCCAGGCAGCCATAGATACAGCTGTAAAAGCTGTGAATAAGGTAAACCCAAAGGTGAGTAAAAACCACTGGATCTCCACCGCCTCATCCGAACTGATAGATGCTAGAAGACTTATTCCGGCGAGCTCCGAATTCAATGAGGAGCGAAAGCTGCACAAGAGGAAACTTACGAAAAGTCTCCGCAAGGACCGTGAACAGTGGTGGGCGACAAAAGCCAAAGAGATGGAGAAAGCTTCGAGGATAGGCAACACCAGGCAACTCTTTGGACTCATCAGGGAAACGGGTGGGAGAAGACAAATCATTAGTGAGACAATCTCGGAAAAAAATGGCACTATAATTAGCTCCAGGATAGACGACTGGATCGTTGGAAAGAGCATTATGAGGAGCAGTTTAATTTGCCCACAGCCACGCTCAACCTTCCGAGCATCCAACACCTCCCTGAATGGGATATAGACACAGGTCCTCCGTCACTAACTGAGGTTACTAAAGCTGTCACCAATCTGAAACTAGGCAAAGCAGCGGGACCTGATGGAATGACTCCAGAGGTATTTAAGTACGGTGGAGACAGCTTACTGTCCGGATTAACTGAGGTACTAGGCAGCGTCTGGGAATCAGAAGAAGTCCCATCGGGTTGGTGTAAGTCACTGATTATCCCCATATACAAGAAGGGAGACAAGTCTTCCTGTGATAATCACAGAGGGATTAGCTTGACTAATATAGTATCTAAAGTCTTAGGCTCAATAATCATGCGTAGACTGAGTGGTGCTCGGGAAGCACAAACACGAGAGAGCCAGGCAGGCTTTAGACCAGGAAGAGGGTGTATTGATCATATCTTCACCCTCCGACAGATTCTAGAACATAGGCATTCCTACCGGCGTCCAACAGTCATTATATTTCTTGACCTAAAGGCAGCATTCGACTCTGTCGATCGGGAAGTTCTCTGGAGATGCTTGGCTGTAAAGGGAATTCCGAGAAAATATATTGCACTGATTAAGGCACTCTACTCGTACTCATACAGCCAGGTGAGGGCTTACGGCGAGCTGTCATCTGAACTGATGACGACCAGTGGTGTCCGTCAAGGATGCCCATTATCTCCTTTTCTATTCAACTTCATCATAGATGTGTTAATGGACTTAACCCTAGGTGACTTCAGCGACTCAGGGATTGACTTGCTACCGGGAATAATCTCGTTGACTTGGAATATGCAGACGATATAGTCCTTCTAGGCGAAGACGCTGACGAAATGCAGAGTCTTCTAAACACCTTGAGCCGCAATCTACGAATGTTTGGCATGCGATTCGCTCCCGCCAAATGCAAGATGATGTTACAGGACTGGACTACATCGACGCCTAGTTTAAAAATAGGAAGTGAAGTGGTAGAGCACGTTGACCGCTTCACTTATTTGGGAAGTACCATCAGCCCCAACGGGCTGATCTCTGACGAAATCTCAGCACGAATACAAGGGGCTCGTTTCGCATTTGTTAGTTTACGCCGACTCTGGCGTAGACGAGATGTTCGACTATCGACCAAAGGGCGGGTGTACTGCTCATCAGTCCGCTCCGTCCTCCTTTATGGTTGTGAGACCTGGCCACTGAGAGTGGAAGACATGAAAAGACTAGCTGTCTTTGATCATAGGTGCCTGCGTTCTATTTCCCGTGTAAAGTGGCATAATAAGGTGAGCAACATGGAGGTTAGGCGTAGAGTTCTAGGTAAACAGGGGAAATCAATCGACGAAGTCGTGAAGCTACAAAGACTGAGATGGTTAGGACATGTGTTACGTATGCCAAGCCATCGCCTCCCTCGACGAGCAATGTTAGCGGATATAGGGTCAGGCTGGAAAAAAGCTAGCGGCGGTCAAACAAAAACTTGGCATCAGTCAATGAAATCCACAACAGTTGGTCTAAGCCACGTAGGAAGGTGTAGACTTCCAGGCTGGGGTCCTCGGGACGGTAAAAATCTATGGTTGGAAACAATTGGTGACATGGCTCAAAATCGTTCTCAGTGGCGCAGATGCATCCACTCCCTGTGACTTATGATCTTCAATGAAACTGTTTTGTATTTCTTTATTACTCCTTTGTCTCACACCTCTGCTCACTGTTTCTATTATGCTTTTCTTGTACTTTCTTCTCTTGCTTCGCGTGCTACACGGAGTGTGGCGACTTGAACTTCCGCACATTTGTGCAAAGTTCTACGTCGAAAACAGACAGACAGACACCTTCCTACGTGGCTGGCTTAAGCTAACTGTTGTGGATTTCATTGACTGGTGCCAAGTTTTTGTTTGACCTCCGCTAGCTTTTTTCCAGCCTGACCCTATATCCGCTAACATTGCTCGTGAAGGAAGGCGATGACTAGGCGTTCATGAGTAACACATGTCCTAATCATCTCAGTCTATGTAACTTCACAATCTCGTCGATTGGTTTCCCCTCCTTACCTAGAACTTGACGCCTAACCTCAATATTTCTCACCTTATTATGCCACTTCACACGGGAGATAAAACACAGGCACCTATGATCAAAGACAGCTAATCTTTACATGTCTTCCACTCTCAGTGGCCAGGTCTCACAGCCATAAGGGAGGACGGAGAGGACTGACAAGCAGTACACCCACCCTTTAGTCGATAGTCGAATATCTCGTCTACGCCAGAGACGGCGTAAACTGGCAAATGCGAAACGAGCCCCCTGTATCCGTGGTGAGATTTCGTCAGAGATCAGCCCGTTGGGGCTGATGGTACTTCCCAAATAAGTGAAGCGGTCAACGTGCTCTACCACTTCACTTCCTATTTTTAAACCAGGCGTCGATGTAGTCCAGTCCTGTAACATCATCTTGCATTTGGCGGGAGCGAATCGCATGCCAAACATTCGTAGATTGCAGCTCAAGGTGTTTAGAAGACTCTGCATATTGTATTCAGTAGAACGTAATAAAAAGTTTAGCAAATGAAATTAATGAATAGGTAATTTCTAGAACTTAACCAAAGTATGTTTACAACATGCTTTAAAAAATATTATATAAGTTGGTATTTATCATCAAATGTAACAAACACATGAGGAAGTGGTCTAATCAATTAAAAAGACAATAAGTACATAAGGAGTAATATATCTTTGCAAAACAAAGAGTAAGTAAACTCATCTTTCAGTTTTATTTGTTGGTTCAGTGGTAGAATACTACTCTCCAGCCACGTCGCCTCATATAGCCGAGGATTCGACTCCCAGTCGATGCACTCCTAAACCTAGATTAGCGGGCCTGATAAAGACGAAAGGTAAAGGTTGAGTGTGAGACTACCAACTCCAACCCATAAAAAAATGAACACCTCTGCTACTGAAACTTCACAGCTCAAGTTTGATGCCCCAATTTCCAAATGAAGTGCAAAGAAATAATAAAAAAGTGGGGATCCAACGAAATCGAACTGTAAAATAATCTAAGTAAATGACTAAATACTTAATGGCAAGAAAAGATATGAAATGAAAGTTAAAATTCTAGTGTGAAATATTCAAGAAGAATTCAAAAAACAGATTTAGGCAAAGATAGGGCTGCTGCAAACTCTGGAATATTTACAAGCGGTCATAGACAAATACTACTCTACTGGCACTAAAATCCAACTGGTCTCTCACTAAAGAAAATCATTCGAACAATAAACTTTAAGGAAGGAGGTCTGAACCAATATCAAACGTCGTCTAGTAGAATTATCCAATCCCTGTTTTAAGTGCTACACATAATTTTTAGAGAATAACAACAACAGAAAATATACATAGACTTCCTATAAGGATGAATGCTGAGAGACTTACTTTTCCTCTTGCTATTCTTTGAAGGTTTCTCGGATTTCTCATCATTCTCTTCATCACTTGAAGGTAGCAAGTTAATTAGATCATAAGTTCGTCGGTTACCTAAAAAATTATTAAAATCATTTGCTTATTTTCACAGGGAATTACAACTTACGTAATGCTTGGTTGACAAGGTAAGGATTCCGTTTCTCTTCTCGTTTAAATTTATTCTTTAAAGAGTAAAGTAAAAAAATAATGATTTATTACTGCAAATAAAATTATGAACCAATCTAAGAAATAATCTTGTAAATACTACAAGGATGAGAAGAAAATCACCAAGAAAATAATGATTTCAGGATTTCATCATGAGCTGACATTAGTTAGAGAACCATTGGAAAAACTGGGAGTACTGGACAGCTGATTCGTCCTAGTGCCTGGGACTCTTCAGCAGTACGCACCCACCGGAATTCGAACCCAGGACCTTCCGGTTACAAGGCAGAAGTTAGAATTCAAGGACCATTGGGTCGTGTCCCAGTGGCTTAATGGTATACGAGCTTGCCTTGTAACCGGAAGGTCCTGGGTTCGAATTCCGGTGGGTGCGTACTGCTGAAGAGTCCCAGGCACTAGGACGAATCAGCTGTCCAGTACTCCCAGTGGTTTTCCAATGGTTCTCTAACTAATGTCAGCTCATGATGAAATCCTGAAACCAATCAAATCCCTACAAACCAACACTTGGAAAATAATGATTGATTGACTAAGTTCAAAAAATGACTTATGACTAAAAATTATGCAGTCTTGCTAAGGCTACCACCAAGAGCCTCATTGTTCAACACACTGAGTTTTCATCAAGAATATTCTTCAAATGATTCATACAACTCCATAAGCACTTACTCATAGATCAGTCATCTTTGAAATTTTATTCTTGAAGAATGCTGCCTCTATTAAGATGTGTATGTGTGTTAGCTTATTATGACAGTGAAACATTTATGATGAAATATAAAAGATAACTGTGTAATTCTCAATCTGTGTTACAAATTCTTTATATACTGTAACAGGATGTTTACATTACTCTATCATGTACATGAGTACTGGAAAGTTAAGAAGCCTAATAAAAGAATGAGCTGAAGAGAGAATGAGTATCAAGTGAAGGTGGAATACTAGATTATTTAGTTCACTTGCTTATCACAGTTTTACTACCAGTTGATAAGTTATAGGTTTGTTTTGTGTTTCTATTTGAGTAACTCATTATCACTATGGCAAAACTGATTTAAACAGGAAGGTAGATTGTAAATGATGATAGAGCATGACCAAAGCTTAATTCTGATGCAAGACGCTTTAACAGTGAGCACAGAGTCATGGCCACCTGTAGAATGGAGTCAAAGATAAACACATCTCTCAAGGTTAGCATATTATTTATCATTGAAGAACATATAATTTGTAAAAGCTGATAGTACTGATTGTATCTTTATTCTTCGACAGGTTCTGGAACACATACATACCTGAGTCTAACATCTTCCATATTTTCCATCAAAAAGTGATACTTAGCTCCAGGTTTCAAGAGGTGCTGTGGGGATGTGTGGTTGTGAAGGGAGTGTCGAGAAATTGTACTGTTGTACTAATTGAGACATTCTGCTTGACCTGCCGCAGACGTGTGAGAGTTTATGTAGAGTTGTCATCTGAAGTGAAAATAACTAATGATGTTTTCCAACATCATTTTCTTACTCAGTTTCGCTGTAAATGTATTGATAAATGCGACTATGGTCAACTCAGATATCTCGTAATGGACTGTTGCCTTGGAAGAGTCTCGTTAATCTAGATTATGCAGACGATATCATCTTTTCAGGTGCTGGCGATGACAAAATAAAGTTCCTTGAATACCCTGAACGAAAACTCCAATATCACTTTGTGCTACAAGATTGGTCTGCACTGACACCTAGTTTTAAGATCGTGATAAGCATAAATGTGTCGACCACTGGACTTACCTCGAAAGTTTTAGCTAATCTAATAAACTGACAACTGACGAAATCTCAGTAAGGATGTTTAAGGTTTATTCGGCATTTACTAATCTGCACCATCTTTTCAGCCAGTATGATATTCATAGAACGATTATGTACTATGCATCAGTTTGCTACTTCCTACCTTAGGTCTGCGAGACATATCCGTTGAATAAAAACGACGTGAAAAGTTCAGAAGTTTTCGACTATAGGGGTGTGCGTTCGAATTCTTATGTAAGGTGGTGCAATACAGTCAGAAACAATGAGCTTACAGGTAAAGTGTTAGGTTAGTAGGGGAAGTCAATAGGTTTGTAAAACATTATTCTTATCTATCACAGTTTTATTAGCTTTCCATTCCCTACTTGCTTTTTTGAAATTTGTTAACTGTGTGGGGGTAGCGATAAACCTTTTCCATTTAATTATTAAAATTAATAGTCAGAATTGGTAATCTGTCAGCTGTCTGTTTAAGTGCATATCATTTGGAATCAGCATTATGTACTATTTTTATGTCAGCTAATTTTTTCTATTATAATTGTGAACTCATTTCTCAATACATATCCTAATTTTTTTCAGAATGTCTTCTTCGTTCGTTAGTCGGAAAATGAAATAGAAAGTCGCGAAACGTTAGTTGCGAACAGTTAATATTCATGCATGGAGGTCATAATAGTCGGTGCGGTTCACGGACAATTCATCAACAAGAACAAATAAGCAAATATTATAAACCATATGGAGCATATTCAAACTATTGTTCAGGATGGTACTAGGTTATTAGAAAGTAAACTGAGTAATAAAAAGCCAAAAAAGAGACTCTTTTTGAACTTAAATGAAAACAACTGGCAATGTTTGAAGTTAACTTATTCTGATGACTTATCCTACAAATCCTTACTAGATGTCACATGAGAAATTGCAACTTCATTGTTCACAGACAGACATGCATCAAATATCTGTAATAATCCACGGAATATGTAGGCAGGAAACAATTGATTTTACAGGCAATAACATGTTAAAATATGAAAACTTCAAAAGAAAAACCATTATACAAATGAATATGAAAAACTTACCACTAGTTCGGATCTTTTACGACGTGGGAACATTTTCTCCATAACATAAAAATCAGTTCCAATAGTACTTAAAGCTCTATAAAACCGTGTAGTCTCTCGTTCCGTCCACCTTTTCGCATGGCAATCACGAGGAGGTCGGAAGCTGTTATAGTTGACGTTAAGTACACCTGTCTCCTCATTAATGTGACGCAAGTTCTTCATATCAAGATTTTCACTCTTTTTAATCAATAAACTGGTTTCATCCAAAACTATATTTCCATTGGCATCAATGCGTAACTGTGGTGCTAACGGATCTAAATAAGCGTCACTGGGTGCAATTTTCGGGGATGTTTCTTTAACTTCAATGTTAGCAAAATTTTCTTCTTGCGTTTTATTAGAGGCTTCTGCATCGCCATTAACTGAACAAGTAGTAGAGTCCAGACGGTCTTGTCGATAACTTAATTAGTAGTTGAATATATCATAAGAACTTACGTTGGAGGTGGTTTATTAATGGGAACCCAATGCAGTAACGAACGAAGAGTGACAGAAGACCGATCAAGTGGTTGATCTACAGGAGGAATTGCTTCTGTTATCTTTGTCTTAACCCTTCGGGGCTACAATATTTAATTAAATATGGATAAAGAAATTATACATACCTTTTTAGTTACAAACAAGTTCACTAATTCTCCGGATGGCTGAGACTTCTCACCACTAACGGAGACTTCTGAATCAAGATCAGTTGGCCTGAAAATATAGGTGTGTACAAGGAATACCTTTGGTCTTCTGTTTCTGGATTTTCTGAAACGCATTCTGAAACTAAATGGGGACTGCGAAAATAAATTTGTCTTATTCCACTACCTGTTAATTGGTTCACTTGGAACTGTGCAGGATGGTGGTTCGGTAACTGGTGGTGCATCAACTACCTCCTTACTGTCATTTTTTTGGGTTTCCTGTTCATTTCTAAATTTAATGGAATAATCAACAATAAGCACCTACGTTTTTACTTGACTTTTCACTTGTTTTATGGAAGGTCGAAAAACTTTTGGCATGTTTTTTATCCTCGTGCAATAAATATGTAACGGTAATCAGTTCTCAAAAGATAAAACAAAAATTCAGGAAACGTTGATTCGCATAGTGTAGGAAATAGATAGAATATGAAAGATAAAATTCTTTATAAACTGATATACTGTTGCTTTGCTATATATATAAAATATCTCTTCAACAGAAAGCATGCAGAAAACCATAGACTGAAGTTTAAAAACTAATCCAACAAAGACTAAAATCTGTTCACAGATAGCACATAAATTCTTGTTTTCTGTGAATCGCTTGCATATTTTGGTTCGCTCAGGGCGTCTGTGAATCTCAGTGTGCACACAAATCTCCTGAAATGAACTGCACGTAACCTAAGTTAACACCACTAATGACGACAGTTACATACATGCACAAGTTTGGAAAACAAAACACTAACGAGCAGAAAAATATTTCGAGCGAAAATCTGAGAAGAGACAGTGTTCACTTCTACAACTTCTAGGTGAGTTAAAAATATTACAGAACTCAGTGAAAATTTCCGAAATAAGAATCCAAAGAGTTTTCGGTGGCTAATGATATACATAACCTCACCTAGACTACTAGCTCGCTAATTTTCTAGCCAGTTCCAAGCCCGGATAAAGAGGGACGGTTGGGGCATGGTGCTAGTAACTCCACCCCCAAAACTTAACCAAATCGCTACAGAAACTTCAACGCACAAATATATTAAAAATACTAAAAATATAAACAATAACCTTATGTTTTCCTGGAATCGGGGAAGCGAAATGACACAGGCTGGTGAAAGCCTTCGCGAAGCCAGTCAGCCGATGTGCCTTCTTTCGATGAAAGCAAAAGTAAGGATGGGTACCTGGAATGTTCGTACAATGTACGAAACTGTAAAGGCTGCCCAGATAGCCGCTGAAATGAGAAGGTACAGAATAGAAGTGTTGGGAATCTGCGAGAGCAGATGGAACGGATGTGGAAGGTGCCAACTACCAACTGGAGAGACAATAATCTATTCCGGTCACCTAGAGGACAACCATGAGCACACAGAGGGAGTGGCCATCATGATGTCACCAACAGCAACCAAAGCTCTCATGCAGTGGGAACCAATCTCCTCCAGGATAATGACAGCCAGGTTCGACTCAAAAGGAAGGAAGGTTACAATCATTTAATGCTGTGCGCCTACAAACGTCTCAGAACAAGAGAAGAAGGTTTTCTACAGACAACTACAAACAGTAATGGACAACGTTCCAAATGGCAATATCAAAATCCTGATGGGTGATATGAATGCGAAGCTGGGACGAAACAACACAGGAAGAGAACTCGCCATGGGTCGTGAGGCCCTCGGCGAAATGAACGACAACGGTGAACTCTCCTCAGACCTCTGCGCCTTCAATGATTTGGTGATTGGTGGCAGTGTGTTCAAACACAAGGATATACACAAGGCGATATGGATTTCACCAGATGGAAACACCAAGAACCAAATAGACTTCATCTCAATTTCAAGAAAGTGGAGACGGAGCCTACTAGACACAAGGTCAAGGAAAGGAGCAGATGTGGGTTCAGACCACTATCTAGTACAAGGGATTTCCAAGGTGAATCTAAAAGCCTTGAGGATAGCTGGAGATAGGCCACAATGCAAGTTCAACACTCAGAAACTGAAGGACAAAACCACAAAGGACACCTTCACTGCAACTGTCAGAGCAAAGCAGGAAACACTACGCGACATCACTGAAGAATCATGCGTGGAAGAACATTGGAAGTCTCTGAAGGCGATTCTCAACGAAACGTGTTCAACGGTTCTAGGAAGAAAGAAGAGACAAGACAAGGAATGGCTCTCAACGGACACTTGGAAATTAATAGAAGAGAGAAGAATGGTGAAAGAGAAAATGATTCAATGCAAGGACGGACAGGAGAAGGAGACGATGAGCTCAACTTACAAAGCACTGGACAAAGAAGTGAAGAAGAGTGCTAGGAAGGACAAAAGATAACTCTACGACAACCTGGCCACTGAAGCTGAGAAGGCAGCAGGCAAAAGGGACCTGAGGACATTGTATCAGATAACCAAATCTCTATCCGGGAAGAGATCAACACAAGCGAACCCTATAAAAGACAGCCAAGGGAACCCAATTACCAAGGAAGAAAGACAGATTGAACAATGGGCGGATCACTTCAAAGGACTCTTGAAGCAACCACCACCTGCAATGCAACCCGTCCAGAAATACCAACAACAGCACGTACACAACTGCAAGTTGACACCAATCCTCCAACGAAAGCTGAAGCCCTGAATGCAATCAAGCTTCTGAAAGCTGGAAAAGCAGCTGAACTAGATGGAATACCCCCTGAAGCACTGAAAGCGGACCCAGAGACTACAGTAGACATGCTGACTCCATTATTGCAAAAGGTCTAGAAGGAGGGAAAGGTGCCTACTGACTGGAGGAAAGGTTACCTCGTGAAACTACCAAAGAAGGGCGACTTAGGACTCTGCAAGAACTGGCGAAGAATCATGCTTCTATCGACGCCAAGTAAAATCCTGAGTCGCATCATCCTGGAGAGAATTAAGGACGCACTGGATACAGAACTCCGACCAGAACACGATGGATTCAAGAAAGGCAAATCATGTTCTAACCAAATTGCAACTCTACGCATCATCACAGAACAAGGCATGGAATGGCAATCAAACCTCTACCTCAACTTTATAGACTTTGAGAAGGCCTTCGACAGCATTGACCGTGAAGTAATTTGGAAACTACTCGAGTACTACGGCGTACTTTAAATATTCATCAACCTTATTCAACAGCTGTACGAGAACGAAACATATCAAGTGACCCACAACGGAAAACTCAGGGAGGCGTTTGGAGTAAACACAGGAGTCAGACAATGGTGCTTATTATCACCAATGATATTCCTAATTGTGGTGGACTGGATTAGGCGTCAGACAGTCGGAAACGAGAAGACAGGGATATCCTGGACCGACAGACGTGAAGAACCTAGAAGACCTGGATTTCGCGCGTGGATGATTCATGTTTCATGCCACACAAAATCGAAGACTTACAAGCGAAAACCGAAAAACTGGTCGAAGAAGCAGTAAAGACAGGACTACATGTGAACATAGACAAGACGGAGGTTATGAAAATAACCAGCCAACAACAATAACAACAGCAACATCCAACGTCAATCACCATCGGCGGGAGGGATTTGAAAGAGGTTACTGCATTCACTTATCTAGGGAGCATTGTCTCAACTACAGCCAGTCGGAACGGACGAGGATGTCAAATCGAGTGAGAACCGGGAAGGCGAGAAACACATTCATCAACCTGAAATCAATCTGGAAATCTTCGTCACTCAGCCAGCATCAACAACAAAATTCGGTCGGATTTTCAATGCAAACAACGTAAAGTCAGTTCTTCTATACGGAACGGATCAGAAACTTGGCGGGTGGGTCACAAAGAATATTTCCAAAAGGTTGCAGACCTTCATCAACCAACAACTGTCTTCGCTCTATACTGAAGATCAGATGGCCGGGCCGGAAAGAATCACCAACAAGAAACTATGGCTGGGAACAAACAAAACAAGAACCAATCGCCAGCCAACAAATATACAGAAGGTGGAGATGGATTGGACACTCGTTCGCTGAGGAGGCCGCCTCTGGGTGACATGGCGCGCACGTCAGGCCATTGCTCGAGTGGAACCAGGCCGAAAGGGAAGCGGCGAGTGGGACGTCAGTGCAAGGGTGACATGGAGATCGTGTGAAGCGGAGTCGAAAGAGTATGGATTAAGATGTGTGCAGGTGAAAAGTACAGCAGAAAGAAGACATAAGCAAGTGGAGACGTGCAGTTGAAGCCCTATGTTCCACTAGGAACCTAAGGGAACAATAATAATAATAATGATATACATGGAATGATTTATGCAGTTTACGATACTAAAACTGAACTTCCAACATTCAAATTCATAAAACTAGCTTAAAGTAAATTTACTACGCTCTAGCAAGGAACACAAAGTAGTCCCATTTCAGCTAACATTGCTGGTTGAGAGAGATGGCGGGAAGTCGTGACTAACAAATATCTCAGCAACCTAGATCCATTGGGTTCCACAACCCCACCGACTGAATAATCCTGCATACCTAACCTCAATGCACCTGACGCTACACAACACGTGAGACACATAACAATGACAGAAAGCCACTGACTCTTTCAGAACCTCCAATATCAACGGCAGAGTAGCAGCCGTTACAGCACGAAGTGAATCTCAAAATTCCGCTAAAGATAACATCCCTGCATTAATAGCCAATCATAAAGAGCCCAAACAAACACCATAATCCATATGACTGATTCATTAATAGATGGACCAGAAAATTCGTACTTTGGTCAGGATAACAATCACATCATAATTAGCACATATGCATTGAATTAATGTCAGCAAACGTAAAAAGAGGTGATTCAGTATTGAAATCTCATGTCCTTAGTCATGATATTGTTATCCTTGAGTTCCATCTCTTCTCCCCCTTAGGGAAGGATCGCCTTCGGCGACTCTACAAGAAAGTACACAAAATTCAATCGAATAAGCTGAAGGCAAACTAGAATGCCAAAGGAAAAACTATTTGAAGGGAATTTGGTTTTATCCAGATGCATGGCTGATGAGGTTATTGATAAAGAGAGTGTGCGACTGACAATGCTCGTTTTCATGGTTTGAATAATAGTAGTATTGATTTACAGGTGTTCTAATAACTAGCAGTTTGTAGGTAAATTGGCTCGAAAGTTAGAATTATAAGCGAATTGGGGAAGCTCAATTTTAAGCTAGACGGTAAGTCTCAGATGCGGACGAGTTCGTGTCAGAATCATTTTAATCTTTGAGCGCTTTGTTAAAATTATGTGCATGCCAGGGGTTGATACTATGCTCTTTGATGTGACCCTAATCAACACAGAACATTTGTCAGCCAGTTTCGGAAAATATTGTGGAATATCGAAAGATAAGTGGAAAAAGTTGATAAATCTTCTGCGTTTTTTGAGGAAAGGCAAGAAAGGCCACTGAAGCTTATGTAGCGCTTCCTTCAGACCTCGGTTATGAAAGAACTGTTCAGATGCTGTATGATTTATTAAGGCAAGAATGTAAGATTGCTCGTTCACTTGCCAATGAACTTATAAGCAATTCTTAACCCATCATATAATAATAATAATGTATATTCTCATATAAACATATAAATTTACATGAAAATGCATGCCATTTTTACAGGCACGATCAAGTATGATATAATATCAAATCGTAGATTGTCTACAAGTTAATAATGTTTCAACAGTTAAATATTTGATATATATATAAATACACATTGTCTGAACTAGGCTGTATAGTTATTGAATTGTACAATTGTCCTCCAGGTTGAGCGGGAAAATCGACTTCGTTTCGTTTTCATCCCGTGGTTGTCGGCATACGATAACCAACCAATATTGAGGTAAGTACAACGTTTACAAGGGATTGAAAGCTGTTTTAGAAAAGTAAAAGTGCTAAGGTGAATCATAAAGTGTAATGAAATGGGTAAGTGCAAGTATCACTAATAAATGCATTAATAAAGGAAACTCCCTAGGCTGACAACGTTCATTTGCAATGTATAATGCTTCCTGTACAGTTCGAACTATCATGATGTCCACTTTTGGTTTTAATACATTTTTCCTCATGCCGGTTTTTTTATTTTATGCCTTTTTGTGCATTTGGTGCACAACCGTACCCTACAGAGAATAGGAATAGAATAAGTCGAATCAAATTCATAAAAAGCTATAAAATGTTAGGTTTAATGGAATATAATGAGGATCAAGTAAAGACGTTATTAGAAAATGAATGAGATAAGACATTGTGAAGTGGTATTTAAAGATCCGACAATGGACAGCAAGTTAGTTTATAAGATGCCCCATAAATCTGTGCAGATCCCACATGGTCGCATCTCAACAATAGGCTGAGTGAATGGTATATATTTAAAGGTAGAAGCATGATCTGTCAAGGCGTTCATTATTATCTTTTTCAAGATAAAGATCTAAGCCCTCATAAAAATCAGAAATATCTCGAGCCTTTAAATTGTATATTGCTGTTCCTGCAGAATGGGGCGATTCACCTTAGTGACCACCACCATATCTACTGATCAGCTAACGCCACCCTCCCTCCTTTTTTGATGTTAAGCTCTGAGACTATGATTATTATGGCTACCGCAAATATATTGCTTGGTACCAGACATGTTCGTACCTCATATTCCATCTCCCTAGCTTTCTTAATGAGTGCTTCCAATAGGTCTCCGCGTACATCTTTATGAACATTATATATGTATGCATGCGTCCTAATGAACAGATTACTTTACAAGAAGTTAAAACCTTAAAGAATAAAAAGAATAGGTTTTGTGAATAGTGAAGCAAGATTCAGCAGAACAATATAGTTAGGGATCAATGTAGGTAGTATGAACTGAAGGTAAGGTCGGTTGGCAGGACTTAGTGTACTAAATTATCATGACAGTCTTATATATAGTTAACATCTGACATTGCAAAGTAACCTGTCTACATATATTATAAAAAGATATTAACAGAACCAACAAAATTTCAGCATTTGGTTAACAATACTACAGAAGGGTAGTTAGTACTACAGGTAGTCGTAAAGTAAATCAATCTATGTATAATAAGAGCATAGTCAGTGTCATAATTCGTATTATCAAAGAATACATTA